CCCCCCCCTCCAAAAAAAATTCGGTAAAATGTGCCCAACTGGAGGAAAAATGGCTGTTTCTTCACTTTCAGTAGTACGGCGAGAGCCTGATTTCACCACGATGCGTCACAAATGTCAGCACAACTTGACCGGTCTCATGACTCCCTTAGTTCTGGGGTTTTACCGTAGAATCAAAAGTAGGTAGTTGGCGGGTACTCTGGTGTGGTTTGCTCCTTCTTTCCTTTCAAACGTTTATCGTCCTGATCTCTCCTCCTCCGTTTTAGGTTTGTTACTCTCTTGTAACACCTCTAATCTTCGGCACTTATGTGACTTTATTGTGTTGCATGTGCCGTAAAACTCTTACTAAAACTAAAACGGAGAATCTAAAACAAAAACTGTGCATACTTAAATCAACCTTGTGACATGAGCAAAAGGGTACGAGTCTGGACACTCGTCATTGGATGTGTAGTACGAGAGAAAAAATATCTCTATGAGCGGAACAAACAACATACATTTCTGTATCACCAGTGACAAGAAAAAAGACACTTTACACGAATTTTCCTCACTTCATCCAGGTGGGAATGGGTACCCGGCCATAGACAGCGAAAGATGTTGTCAGTATGTTAGTGTTTTAGCGCCTATAAATGGCTGCTTGTCCTGTATGCTTCTCGGGAAGTAGAGGTTTTAGAATGCTCTCAGGTCTGCTAGTTGTAAAATATAATGTTGAAAGCAAATTTTAATGCACTTTTTATATATGGTCTGTATGGAGCCTGTGTGTTTGAGCTCTTACTCAGCCGTTTGTCATTGACTCACGTCATCTAAGGCTGGACTTGTAACCAATCAGTGGAGCATGGCTGACGGGCTGTCGTTAACCGCTCCTGCAAAAGTAAAATTTTTCCTTGCGAAACACATCGATACAGATAATACGTCAAGCCATTGACCAAGCATGTAGTTCCATACGGTATCCCCAAAGATTCTCTACAACACGATCTTTGTTATCTCCAAGGCCTTCTAAAAATAGTCTGTGGGTATCCCAGGATGTGATGACATCACATTACTAAAATTAACCACCAATCAGGCAGATGCGTCGTTCTACGTTTAGGCCTAGACTTGTGGCGCACCTCGTCCCCCACGCTCTGAACACACTGCTGCTCACAACGTGTCAAGGATAACAATATTTCGGAATATAACTTGTAGATAGATATATGGTCGCGTTTAAGCACAAAGGGGCTATCCCGAGAAGTGCTGTTTTGAGAAAATCGAAGGTAATGTTTTTGCCCCTTGTTCAGTTTCTTCAAAATACAAGGACAGTTTTCTCTATAACCAAACAAATATACACACCAATGAAACCAATCTTCTCTTATAGTTAGGGCGATGCCCACTTTTCGTGAAGGTCAAGATTTCCCGAAATCTGGGTTAGTCCGCTTGTCCTTAAAAGCGCCCATATATATAGATAGAAGGATGGATAGATGTGGTAAGATTGAACTCTGGTGGATCCAACACTGAACGAAGCGGAGTTACTTTTGAGCCTCGCTGTGCAATTGCAGCTCTTATGTTATTGTTTTGCGTTTGTGTGTGGTTATTATTATTATTATTATTATTATTATTATTATTATTATTATTATTATTGTTATT